AAGGAGTTAAGTACTGGTCTTTAAAAAAAAAAAAGATTTCCTAATAAAAATCTCAGGGGAGGAATTACAAATCATTGTATCCCAACCACAGACTTCAGGGGAGGCTAAGCTGACTGAGAGCAACCTGAAACTTCCATTCGCCATTTCATGTTGCTCAAGGACAAGAAAACTCCCAAGCCCAAAAAACTGGGGAAAAGGGAAGGAGAGAGTGCTGTGTACACCAGCTTGACTTCCTGAAGGAACAGGAGAATGCCATCTAATACGCAAATTTCCTCCTCTTACCTGAGCTGGAGGTTCAGCCACTGTTTCAGCTGCACCAGAAAGAGCAGACAACTTCATTCGAGTCTTCCCTGAGGGGAAGACAGAATTTTAAAGTGCAGAATTAATAAAATAGGAGGCGGCATTCTAGAGAAGAGAAGACATAGAGAAGATGAGACAGCTGGGATCTCTCTGGGGAATGGGAGGGCCTTCACTTACCTCCTGAGCTGTCCTGACTTGGATCTTCCTGAAAGATCCTCCAGAAAAATGGGTCCTGCGGGGGACTGGATGGATTCCTCCTTCCCTCAGGACCTCTGATGTCCACAGTGAAGGACTTGAAATAGTAGGCAGGAGAAAAGAAGAAGAATTAACAGACATCACACAACATGAGGTGGATTTTTGTTCTCTGAACACATACTTAAAGCCTCCAGTGTCCATCAGTGAGGCTGGTAAGTGAGAAAGGAACGGCTGTCCCAAATCTATCTTCTAGAATGGATAAGGGAACAATGTCCTATAAGAATTAGTGAAACATCTCAACCTACTCCGAATGCCAGACAGCTCTAATCGGGAGGGGTTAACAATTCAAGCAGATTGTTTATTCCCTTCAGACCCCTTCTGGGCTCCGAAAACAAAGGTCTCCCACCTGCAACTCAACCTGCTCCTTCTGCTCTTCTGCCTGGCTCAGGAGGAAGCCTTCCAGCAGGGCTACTGCCTGGGAGCTGATCTCTGCTCCACACTCCTGCACCCAGCTCGCCATCTGCAGCGGCAGAAGGGCCCGGAAGTGCTCCAGAACAACCAGGTCCAGCATCTGTGCCTTTGTGTGCTTTTCTGGTCTCAACCATTGACGACAAAAGTAGTGGAGACGGCTGCAAAGTCCTCGGGGACCCTCAGCCTCCTTGTATTGGATGCTCCTGAAGTTCTGGGGCTGAACTTCTGGACGGATAGTTTCTTCCTCCAGGATCTTA